CCTAAATAGGGGCCAGTTTCCCTTAAAAACACCTCCCAGAAAGCATTCCCTGTAGGCAGATCGCCCGAGTGTTGCGTTGCCATAACTTAAATAACAAACAAACTCTTTCCGTAAGAAACAAGAAATTGATCTAAAGTTGATTGTCTTACTCTTTTAATCAAAATTTTTCTCAAATGCGATAGCACATTGTCGTTTATATTGCGTTGTCGTTTTCTAATGCCACTATGACTTTTTTCTTTCTTTGATGCCATATTGATTAAATATATAAATCACAAAACTGAAAAAAGAAGTATAGCACAAACACTCGGAAAAGCAATGCTTAACTCGCGCATGCCTAACACGAACTAAAATTTGACACAAAATACCGTTACGTTCGTTATCCGAGACAAAATTTTTGCAAATTAAAAGTTCGTTAACCGATTTGGTCATTAACCAGGACGTTCGTTAACCGGGGTTCCACTGTATAGATATTTTGATAATGTCTGAAGATAACAATTTTGATGGCCAAACTAGGAGATAATTTGTAATTATACTAGCAAAAATGTTTGATGAATGCAGTCTGTTGCTTATGTTACTTATTAATTACGATGTTTGATCTGTAGTATTGATCTGCAGATATGTTTTATATTAAAAATATTTATTAAATTAAAGTTAACTTCTAAAATTTTCTTTAAAGTTTTGTCTTTATTGTCAGAAATTTTTACTAGAATATTAAGTTAATTAATTAAAGTTGTTTAATTGATATTAGTTGTCATTAACAAATTATTCTACTTAGAATAGTTAAAGATGTATAGAAAGAGGTTAAAGGAGTATAATAAATAAAAACCACAGATTCTCATTACTAAGACTTCAAAGGTTTGTGGTTAATTTTGAATTAACCACATTCCAAAATTTAAAGTTTGCTTTAACTGTACAAAATAAATTATGTTTAATATATGCAACCAAAAAACTACTTTCACAATAAACTTGAATCTGTCATCAAATTTAAACCAGAAATGTTATCATAGAATAAATTAAATTATTTTTTCAAATTCCAAAAGTCACGAGTTCAATTTTGAAGACAGTTAAAAAACTTCAGAAATGTTTATCTTGATAAATAGTACTTTTATTAATTAAGAAATCCATATGTTTTTGACTTGAATTAAATTGTATGGCTCACTTTACATTCAAGAACACAACAATGTATAGAGAGAGAGAGAGAGAGAGAAAGTCTGCTAAATAAATAAAAATAATGCAATCATATAAATGAAGTCATATTAAATATTAATCATCTTGTAAACTCCACTTTATGAAAAATGATTATTAAACTTATAAAAATTTTAAAATAAGCAATATCTTGAACAAAACTATATAAATTTGGAAAAATTACAAAATTTCCTATGGATAGACTCTGAAAGTGTCTTCCTTCCTTTCTGTCCCTCTGTACATGAGGTGTATGAAGGGACAGAAAGGAAGGAAGACACTTTTAGAGTCTAGCCATAGCAAACTTTGTAATTTTGCCAAATTTCTAATTGTTGTCCCAGCAGTAAATTTTATTAAAACTATTATAAAGAAAAAAAATCCACTTTCAAAGAATAATTGTACAATAATATTTTAAGATATACTATAAAATCAAAAATTGTGTATTTCATTACATACAGTGAACTCCCATATAACATGTGTGCATTATAGGGGAGCATGTCCCCTATTATGCAAATTTGTATAAATCAACGAAAAAACTGACTAGTACTCATAAAAAATTTTAATTTCGGTGTCCAGAATATATGTTTTCCTCTCCAACTTCTAGGCATAAGTTTAAACTTGCATAAAATCATCTGATAATGACTCTCAGTAACATGATTTCCTATAACGTGTAATGTATCCCCCGTGTTGTATGGACTCCGCTGTACTAAGAATAGTTGTTTATAAATATGTTTTAATAAACCATTAAACAAAATGAAGGAAAGGATATTAAATCTCTTGGAGTTCGATGCTCTAATGTCAAATGGGCTGCAAAATCATCAGTAACGTTATTTGGTTCTCCACCTGGAAGAGCTGCACAAACAGGACATACCTATAATACAAGACAAAATTTAGTTTAATATGCACAAATAAAATAATTTTGATAAATTAATTTCTAGAAATACTANGATGCTCTAATGTCAAATGGGCTGCAAAATCATCAGTAACGTTATTTGGTTCTCCACCTGGAAGAGCTGCACAAACAGGACATACCTATAATACAAGACAAAATTTAGTTTAATATGCACAAATAGAATAATTTTGATAAATTAATTTCTAGAAATACTAAAATATTTATATTAACATAAAAACTTTCCAAAAGTCACTGTTTACAACTGAATAATTCCAAATATTAAATAATTATCCTACTTACAACTAATTAAACTTTTGGTAAACTTTGAAAATCAATTAATTATGAACATTTTTGATCATTAAATAATATTACAAAAAGAAATTAAGCATAACAAATAGCATTAAATAAGTTATAGAAATTATACAAATATCATATCATAATTTACTGTAAAAACATGCAACTTTTAGTCTAACTGCTGTAAAGCATCAATTATCCAAATACTGATCAACCAAAACAACAGTTAACTGAAAGCTTTCCAGTTGGAAAATTCAAATTTCTGCTAGTGCAGCACTCTCCCTGCCAACCTAAACTGTAGGCCTACTTTAATGTACTATTTTATGTAAGGTATGTATTTGTAAGACATGTGATACAAAATACATACAATACAGTTTTGTGTTTAATATATTTTTTCATAAATGACCAATTATCCAAACCACTCCAAACCAAAATTGTTTCGGATAATCGATACTCTACTATATTTGACTGTCACAATTTTAGGAGTCATTGCTCTGTTCTCATATTCTTAAGTTGATTCTGAAGATAAATGGTAAAGCATCTGAAAAATAAAAGGAATCTAGAACCTTTCAATTTTACTCATTCATTAATCCTGGATTATTTTGAGGCACATTTTGACTATTAGTTACCAAATAATTTAACACTTTGAACTAAAATAGTAGGCAGTTAAGCTGTTGTCTTTATTATAATTGAAAAAAACATATATATATCATTTGGTTTATTTGGCTCTTGTGATGTTTTGCTTATTTCTCTGATATTTTAGAAAAATGCAAACCGGAGCCAAACATTTTTGGCTTGTGATAATAAATGAAAACGATGGACAGACTGAACCATTTTTAGTTGTGTTATGCGACTTCTGGCATTTAAACAGCTTTCTAAATTTATATCGAAAAATACTCAAGAAATGGACCTGATTCAATTGAATCAGTCAAATTAAATTTTAAAGCAAATACAAACGAATTTATTTCGTTTAAATCGCTTCCATTATTTATTAAATATTAAATTTTACGATATAATTCTCCTCCATAAAATATTAAAAAAAAAACAAATTATCTAACATTCTCATCATCACATTAAACACGCAACTTTGAATGAAGTATGGTAAGTATTTTAAGTTTTCTGAGTAATTTTCAAGAAAGGAAATCCTATAATGTAACAGAATATTCTCTAAATTTGCCATATAAAAAAATTTTTTTTTCATAAACCACTTTATCTTAGAGCTACTCGAATGGATCAATATGAAATATANATGGAAAAACAGGGCTCAAAATTAATTGTTGTCTAGTTGTTGCAGGCAACTAAAATTTATGTGGACTACTGAATGTACTGTATTTTTGAAGATTCCAATAGACAACCTCGTGTATTTTCTCATTGGACTGCAATTTGAAAAAATTGTAGAACTATAAATTCCCACTGTCGTCCATCCGTCTTTCCCTAATCTGAAGAACAGTGTTATGATGAAAGACAGGACCAGATATGGAACCTTAGGGATAGGAGGCTCCAATTAACTATATATGAACTTCCAATGCAAACTGGAAGTCATATTATTTCAATTCAAAATTTCACCCTGAAAGCAATTAATAAATACCCAGCACAACTCTATTGTTAACAGAAAAGTATGATGTATGGTGCAAGCCACTACTAATTTGAAGTGGAGATCATATATTTTAAATTAAATAAATTAAAAATTGCAGCCTGGCATCCTGATGATGTCACAATAAATAATTGCTCATTTCTCATAACTTTTCCTATTTTGTGCATTTTATCCTATTAAGAAGTAATAAGTACCTTTTTAGTAACAACAACAAACACAAAACAACCATAAGTTCATCTGAAATATCAAACTCAGTTACAGTAATAAATCCAATATAGTTGGATTGGAAACAAGAAAAATATTGACAATTTATGAATAGATATTTGTATGAACTGTAGAACTTTAGTTTTCTGCTAGTTATAGCAGAAGGCAGGTCTGGTAAGCACACACTCTCTATATTACTTTATCATGCACTCTTGTCTTTAGCTCCTTATAATTGCCCTCTTAAGTCATTACCATTTTAATTCTCCTCCATCATTTCTTTCTGCCTGCAACCATTTCTTTCATAATGCCATTCCATAAGCCTTCCTACTTTTGAATCAGGTATCCCATCCAATTATCTGTTTGCCTCTTTGTTCTCTAATATGTTCCTTTTTTCTCACACTCTTCTTAGAACTTCTTTATTTCTCACATTATCACTTCATCTGACTTTCTCTATTCTTCTATATAGCCACATCCCTAGGGTCTCTATTCTCGTAATGTCATATTGTCTTAAAGTTTCAATACTATAGTGGAAAATGCTCCAGATATAGCATTTGAACAGCTTTTTTCTCAATTCTAATATCAGAGAATCAAACAAAATTGTGTTCATTTTGCTAAATGCCTCTTTTTCCATTCTAATTCTCCTCTTTATTTCTTTCCCACTTCTGCATTCAAAGTTGAGCCAAGAACTTTGGTATCTAAACCTGTTCTCTCTGATCCATAGCACTTTGGTTTTGTTAACATTAATTTTACTGTAGAATATCAAATAAAAGGATTTAAAAACATTTCTTATTATAATGTCCTGTATTCAATTTTAGTCTGCTGTATTTAAATTATAAATTTGATTCAAACTTAAATATTTTCTACAGCATATTTCCTAAATTAAAAATGCAACTTCACTATTTTGTGGTATTAATTTTATTTTCAGTTTTACTTTTATTTTGAATAAATCATTATTATTTTATTCAATGTCCACTTAGTCATTGGTTTTGTGTATCTATTAAGAATGTTAGCATGTGATTTTCATACAGTGACCAATTATAGCTTTTTGCATTTTTTTAAAATCAATTTACTTTTGTCTGAAGTTTTAAAATATAAATTTTACTTCATCAAAAAAAATTGTTTTTGCCAAATTTTCAACATACCCAGTAAGAATTTATAGGCATACTCAATGTTTCTAAGTTGGCACCTACTGTAAACAAATACCTTGTAGGTTTCCCAAGATTTCTGTGTGCAAATGTAAAGAATGAATGGTTGCATAGTGTGCAAGCAATAAAAAAAACTTAATCTTTTTATATGCACTAATTTTTTTGTATTACTTGGTAGTTTATAAAGAAAACTATGCACCCTGCAGCTTGAACATGGACAAATGATTTCATTTCAGGACAACAAAAAGTTTAGAGTTGGTTGTCTGCTGAACAGACAACTTTCATATATTCTTAATTTCTAACCCTAGAAAACAACAATTTCTTTTCTTAGCTTATAACTTTTAACAGTTGAAACAAAGAAGATAAGCAATATCTAATATATTCAGTATAGACAAATCAGAAAATTATCAATTACCATAAAAACTACAATTTAAATGTACTCAATATAGGTATAGTACAGTGACATCTCCATTAACGGAGGCTCCCAAACAGCAAACATCTCTACTTAATAAACATGTTTACAATCCCCACTCTTCAAATAGATGTGTATAATATTTACCTCTAAATAACAGATGTCGTCCATAACACAACTTAAGAAAAAAAAAAAGTCCCACCTTCAATATTCTGAAAAAAATTATGTATGAAATACTTTAAAATGAAAACAAAGAATCGTTTGGAATACTCTTTCAGATGACAAATTTTAACCGTAGGCTGGCTTAAAATAGGACCAGAGGAGAAAGGCAGGTTGTTAACAATATTCTTTATCTGTTAGGGAAGACTAATTTGGTTAAGTTGTCAATCATCATTTATCGTCATACATATTAATGTTATTAAACTTCTGACTCATTGTTGGGATTTAGCTTACAGTACCAAGAAACCATAAACTTTTCCAAAGTTATTCATTTATTCAAGAACCGTAGTATAATAGAAACCTTAAAACTGTTTTCATTATGAGAGCAGAGTTTATTTGATGAAAGTTCAAAGAGTGTTATGAAAGCAATTTTCCGAAGTGTTTAAAGTGTAGGAAGATATTTGGTTTTCTTGCATTTATGACGTAATTTATGATCTAAACAGCTTTGTAGTGGATAAAGTAATTTTTAACAAACCAGTTACTGAAAAAAGCAAAAATGTTCAAAAAATTAAATCTACTCAGTAATTACAAAGCAGACAAATTACTATTAGATTTTTATTAGTTGCTTAGATCATAAACAATGTTATAAACATAGAATACCAAATACATTTATTACCTTTAAAGTGGCTAGCAGATCGCCTTCCTAACTCAACATATGAAGTCTCACCACCTAAACTGACCTTCGTCTACTCTTCTGTTTGAAATAAGTTTCATCTTTCTTTTTTTGTTACTTCTTTCCAGGTTGTTTTTGATTAATTAATTCATCACCATTTACATTTTGTCATAACTTTTATGTTCCATTTAAAGTATCCAGTTCAATCTGTTTGCTATTTAGAATTCAATTAAAATGCGATTTTTACAGCCAAAAAGATTAATAATTAAAATATATATACAGTATTATTTATGCTATGTATACTTTTCAATATTTTCACACTCCTAACTCAATTTGATGTTTTAATAATCCATTATATTCTTCATTATAGGATGACAGTGTTAAGTACAATACAAGTTGGCATGTACCTCCGAATAGTGGACAAACTTTTTGGTCCCAGTGATGTCCAATATTCGGGGGTTATACTGTATTATTAAAGCCAAACAACTGCAGGATTAC